AACGATAACATTAAAAAAAAATAAAAACAATTTAAAATATGATAACTGTGTCTTATCAGTGATTAGGTTCAGTAAGGGATACAATAGTTTGGTACAATAGTTTGATGCTTTTCAATTGGTCACTCTAAGCGTTCTCCATCTAAATGCTTCACTTACGTATACGCATGGCCACCCCGTGATGTAAATCAATGCCTCCCATATAAGAATTATATTCACCAATTGACGCTGGTCTAGGGACATCAACTTTTTTTTTTCTGCAACAGACCATCTTTTGGACGCATGTAAAATCCCGGAAAATAATTGAACTGACTGTACGATTCCGGAATGTAAATATTCGGACCGTAATATCACGGACCGTAAAAATCCGGAAAGTTGTAAACCGTATATTCCCGGACCGTAAAAATCCGGAAAGTAAAAATGTACTGGCCGTTATATCCCGGACCGTAAAAATCCGGAATTTAAAAAAACGATACTAGCGCTCTCAATTAGAGTGCCTTCATGAGCCTGCTTGTGTGTCGTGATAAGGCGCAATATTTAGGCAATATGCAATTTTAGGAGCCGCCGCCTATGGCATATTTTTTGTTAATTGTCAATAATGATTAATGTGAGTGATTGTATGCTGTACATAGGCGCAAATAGGGTGGGGCTTGGGGGGGGGGGCTAAGCCCCCCAATATTTACTCTAATATTAAAATTTAATGCCCCTGTTAATAATCAAATGTTGTTTTCGATTACTAACTATGACTGTAAAAGTGTAGAATATGGTCAATATAATTTTTTTTTTACATTTTAATTATAGATTAATTGATTTATGAAACGTCGAGAACATAAATGTCGCGCGATATTTCGAAAACAGTCTTGTGCATCATGACTTTATCGGTCATAGAAGTATTTATTTTTATAAACACTAAATCTAATATTAATTTATAATGTATTTATATTAATAAACTGTGCTAAACAATGTTATTGAATGTTTGAATCTACTTTTTATTTACCGTATACTTTTGAAAATTAATTTGTAAATAATAACTTTATATAAAATCATCGTAAAATCAAATGGTAAATAGTATTTCTATAACAAACAATTATGTATGCCACTAGATAGCGCTAATGTCGCATTAGCAAATTCCGGATATTTACGGTCCGTGATATATTTACGAAGCATATTGTATTTTTGCATTCCGGGATTTTACGGTCCGGTAATTTAAGGTCCGGGACATTACAGTCCGTGATATTATTGTTCAATATTTCTGAATTCCGTAAATTTACGGTCCGTATATTTACGTTTCGTGGGTTTTTTTTCCGGATTTTTACGGTCCGTGACATTACGGAAAAATTCCGGATTTTTACAGTCCGCCTTATTATTTCCTGGACATTTACGGTGCCCCCATCTTTTGACATTCTCCACAGGTAGTGGTCCTTTGTAATTTGAAATTACATGCACAATTTTACTATCATTCCACTTAGTTACTACAATATTGTTATTTGTGTCCACTCTACTATCAAACTTGCCACGTTCTCCAGATTTCAATTGCTTATCACTTGCTAATACACAACCGGCAATACGATTAGAACGTACTGTCCCGATACTGTCCAACGAATTTTAACTTGCATTGCAAGTTGTAGGAATTAAACCAATTGTCCATAGATACCTAAAACAAAAATGATTGTATATTTATGTTAACTTAATGTAAAATTTTAACAATCAAGTTATGAAGTACAAATATTACCTTATAATTTTCATTTTTTGGAATACATTCAATAAGTCGCATGACAACATCTCCACTTATACCTAGGCCATGGTTCGATGGAGGTAAAGTACCTTTGCCAACATATATTTCAAAATCATGCACTAGTCCATTTGATGAAGCCAGTGCAAACATTTTGATTCCAGATTTATGAGGCTTATTTTTATTGTACTGCTTCATAATTGAGCGACCTTTGAAAAGAATAATTATTTCGTCAACAGCTATATACACATTTACATGAACTTTCTTCATGTTATCCCTTATGGCATTCAAAAAAGGTCTGGTTTTAAACAATTTGTCATGTTGGCTATGTTCTCTGGGTAACATATGAGTATTATCATTAACGTGAAAGTAAGACCTTAGGTTGTCAAATCTGTTTCTTGCCATTACATCAGAAACTATAGAAAAACGGGTCTGATTATTCCAAAACATTCTATAAAATGGCATTTTGACAATACTCATGTACCTAAAACAAAGCATGATAGTTTTGAAGAAACAGAATGACTTATATTAACTTATAAGTGAGAAATAAATACATAAATTTGAATTCCAATAAACTGTTCAATCTCAGCAGATGATGTAGCAATGCATTTCCTGACTTCTGTACAGAATATATATTAGTTTGTTTACATAAATTTTGAATAATATCATCATCAAAATACTGTTTAAAGTATTCATAGGGAGATAAAATGTGAGTAGGTGGATCAGGTAAGTTTCCTTTCCATGTTGAATCAGGGTTTTGATATGGTACCTATAATATTTAAAAAGCTAATATTTAATTACCTAACATTTTTGTTGACAAACTGTCCATAAAAACTAATACCTTTTCCCAATTTGGACCTATCCTAACTTGTTCATCAAAAAATCTATTTTCTGCTTCAATTTCTGCTTCTATGTTCCCTCTGGTTAAGCATAATTAAATTATTTTCAAAATTGACTCCATCCTCTTCCAATAAATTATTTTGAATAGGAAATAATTCCTGAATTATTATTATAATATTAGTCAATAAATGTATAGTTTAATCTCGAGTTTAATAGAATATATAGAGATACTTACTTCAATATTATCAGGAAATGTATTCAATATTTCATTTAGATTGTCAATATTAATGTAATCACCTTCATCTAGTTCTTCTAGGTCTGATATATCCCCTTGTAATAACTCAGCCATTTCTTCATCACTTAGTATTTTCCCCATGTTTCTAGTGACTATGGCAACATCAAAAAAAATCTAAACAACAAAATGTTCATGATTCCAAAAATTATCATTGAGAATTTGAGACATAATTTAAAAAAAAATTGAATTGCTTGTTTAATCCCAATGATTATTTTAGGAATCATCGTGTTTATGATACTATAATGAATAAACTATAAGAGTTAGATCTATAATAATACTTTAACTATAAAGATGAAGTAATTTTTAACATGATTAAATTTTTTTTTAATTGATTAGGCTAAAATAACTTACCTTTTAATTAATATTTAAAATTTGGTTTCTTGCACCGTGGTTGATTATTGATAATGAAAACAAACTGACAGTTTACTATCACTTAATCATTCAAATAAGAAAAAACAGTGTTCCCATTAGAAAGAGTAGAAAATTTCTCATTTATTTATGTGTATTTAGTCATTATTGGAAAATTGTGGGCTGTTTAATACGTCATTGATACGTTATAGGTACCTACATGAACCGCGGCAACTAACATATTATTAAAATATTATTTATTTATAAACAAATTAATTTTTATGTATTCTTTGTAACATATACAATATACATCGATAGACTTTAACAAGTAACCACAGATATTAAAATACAAATACTATAGGTAATAGGTATAATAATACAATTATGCAATTACCTACAGATTTATCATTTATCATTATTAAATACTTACCTAGTTAATTGTTAAAATCCAAAACAACATTATTATTTTTTTCATAAAAGGGGTAATGAGAGTACCTAATTTTATTTTATAAAACAAGTAAAAATGTTACATAATTATAAATTCTTAAAATTATTGTTGTAGTAAAAAAAAATTCCTTTATAATTTTATAAGTATAATAAAAAGTATAGTTGTATAACTTAAAAGCTAATATAATACTTTACATTTTATAAAATACAGTCAAAATTGTTTAAAATATTTTTATATTAAAATCTTTATAAAAAGTTCTAAGGACAATATTAATAATAATTATAATAATTAATATTATCTAATTATAACAATAAACAAGTACCAAACAATTGTACAAATCAAATATTATTTTTTTTTTTTCATAAAATAATTTAACCATATTATGTATACCTATGTAATGGTGTGGAAACCATTACAGTTTTCATATTTTTATAATTATAATATTACGTATAGTATTATATACTATACATATATCATAGATGCGTGTGTCATCTTTTATCCATTATGTAATATCACGGAGTAAAGCTATATATATTGTTGTATGTACCAATATTCCTTTATGCTAAATAGTTAAATTGTTTTTATATTCATTATTCTTAACAATAGGCCAACGAAGCAAATGAGCTGAGGCAGCAGTTTGTAAAATTATATTTAAGAACATAATAACCACGGTACGGGGGCAGTGTGGTTTTTCTAGCCAGGTCCGCATGTTTGTAAATGCTTCATCTA